GCTGTGAAGAGACTCCAACAACATTGATAGTCAAGTGCGTGGTTTGTAGACTATATGGCGAGATCTAAAGAGCCACCTTGATTGTGCTCCTCCGATATGAATGATATTATCTCTCCATCTTCGAATTGACCCCCATAGCAAGACGTATACGAATCAGCTGGTATAATCGTTAGTAAACTCGACGCAAATTCCACTTTATAACTAAGGATTGCTATCACTCACATCGCCTATTCTCGCTGGCTCATATTTTGCAGGGTTATCGTCGCTAATACAAGTTGGCAGCACTGCCAGCTTCGCGCGGTAGTCAAAGCCAAAGAATAATGGCAGTGAGTATCTATCATCCTTCCCATGTTGGATCACCCTGTGTACAGTACTCTTCAGCCGGTCATTTGTCAGGCGCATCAGAAAGTCGCCAATGTTAACTACAAATGTCCCGGGGATTGGAGGCGCGTAAACCCATTCGTTGTCATTGTTGAGGACCTGTAGACCTCGCCCACTATCGCTCTGGTATAAGAGGGTAAGAACCTGAAGGTCAGTGTGCGCACCTAAGCCGACTTCTTTAGGGTCCAATATGGGCTCATCCCCGTGGCCAGGGTAGTAATTAAGACCAAAGTCAGCGCCTGGATACCTGACTAGGTCGTCAAAGTAACTTTCTGGAAGATCCAAAGCCAGGGCGACCAATTTTATCATCTGGCGAGCGAGAGTGAGCACCGCCTTGTAGTAGGGCAGGATACCCTCGTCAAATCCTAGGCTGGTGAGTCCGTTCCAGACATAAGGATCTTTTGGCAGGCTATCCAGCACCTCTTTTGGAATGTGCTTGAGATCGTCGCAATGATATGGATCGAATCGAGGCTCGTAGTGCCAGTTGATCGTTTCTTTCCGGTCAGGATTAGATGATGGATTCACGCGGCGGGAGTACGAAGGCTTGAATCCATAGTTCGATATGGAGGGCTGAGTGACCATGCGCATTTTATCTTCCATCGGAAGAGCGAAAAATCTATAATGGAACCGTCAGTCTAGTCCAGGAATCATGGCTGTGCTTCATCAAATGGTCATAGCTCAGATAATCGCCGTACTCTTTCGTTCTTTCGAGAGCCTGGCCAAAAAGCTCGTCAGGCACACCATGATTTTTGATATAAAAGAATCCTGTCTTTTCAGCTGCCACTAGCAAGTTTTTAGCCACTTTCGTTCGAGCTGTGAGGTCACCCTTCATTCCAGACAAATCGATGACAGGAACCTCGTCCTTGGTGCAATCCCTTGGGGGATTCAACGAGACTTCACGATAAGCGAAGCCTTCATAACTGTGAAGCAGCAGCTGAGTCGTGTTCTCTTTGCAGGGAGGCGGAGCAGGGAGAGTCATTGTTTTCGTCGCCATGGCTCCGTTGCTTTTTCGGTGACTGACCCAAGATTGAGTTTTTTTTTTCTTTATTTTCTGCACGGCTTTTCAATTGACGTCTAAAAGAATAGAAAGGCAGTAAAACAGAACTTTCGAGTGGTATAAACTGCATCTTAACTTGTTGAACTCATGTCCCTAGTCCTCAGATACACGTATAGGGATATCAGCCACTAGCCCGTCCCTTTTCAGAACCCGCCGGTGACCGCCGGTCACCCACATTTAGCGCCGAGAACCGGACTAACACCCCTTCCTCTTCTACACTCAATGAGACCCGGACGAGTTTATCAGCAATCAAAACGAATCGACTGGATTACAGCTGTATACGCAATGTCCAAGAGTCCATCACCCGATCCTAGTGCTGCTGCCTCCACTTCCCAAGGATCTGTCATACGAGCAGAAGCCGGGCGCTCTCCGAGAAAAGCTGCACGAAGGCGACAGAAAAGGGTTTTGTCCTGCGAAACATGTCAGCGGTTAAAGTGTCGATGCGAGTATGACCATTCGGTAGAATGCTGTAGACGGTGTCAGACACTAAGGTAAGCGATGAGCAGCGGAAGACCATAAGGCCATTCGATAATTGTGAAACTAACAGTCGTGTAGGCTGGCTTGTTCTCTGAGCCGTGGAAAGCCTAGTTCTATCCCGATAACTCGAAACGCTGATACTTTCAGCGCCCACAGCATTGAAGAAAGGTATGGTAATTTCTGTGACTTACAGCCCAGGGAAATTGACAATCTAAATGCTGCTTTCAAATATAGACTTAACTCTCATGACACGGCCCTCGCCGAGATCAAATCTCTCCTTAACAAACTT